ATTTCTTCTTGTTCAAAATAAAAAATATATATATATATGTGCATATAAATAGAATGACACGTTTGTATTCTTGTGATTCTTACTGCCAGCATAAAGCCGTCAGCATTTTTTCCTTGCCTCTACCAACAAAAGCTCCCTCTTTTTCATTCAATGCAAGGCAACAATGGCGCACCTTTGCAACCTCCAAATCCGTGTTAATGCTAAATACGTATTCTTTATCGATGAGGTAAAAGAAAAGGAAAAACTTTATCAGGTTACCCTTTCATTTTTCCTTCAAAATCTAACATTCTGATTGTTTCTTTCTGAAATTCTGTAGAACATCATAGCAGCATTCTCAGGACGGTTGAAGAAGATCATCAAGAACGAAAAAAGAAGAACCCAAATCAAGAATTCCGGTATAGAAATCTATGACTTCCCCGGAGGTCCAGATGGGTTTGAACTTGTCTCCAGATTCTGCTATGGTAATGGCAGAATCGAAATCACTGTGTCGAATGTGTCCCTTCTCCATTGTTGTGCTGTATTTCTAGGTATGACTGAGAAAGTCTTCGCTGGAAATCTCCTGCATCAAACGGAGAGTTTTTTGGCCGGATTGTTTTACTGGTCCTGGAATGACATAGTTTTGAGTCTGAAGAATTGTCAGTCGTTCTTGTCGTACGCAGATTCTTGTGGTCTTGTGCAAAAGCTCATTTGTGCATTGATAGCAAAGATTGCTCAGAATTCTGAAATGAACCTCATTGCTTCAACATCTTCATCTTCTTCTTCTCCAGAAACTGTTTCTGGGTTCAGATTTTCTGCCTCATCAAAAGCTACTCCTGAGTCAATCAAGGTCTCAAAATCAAGCAAAGCTTGGTGGTTTGATGACATGACTGTCTTATGCCCACAAATTATTGAAAGGGTCATCAAGAGTTTGGGGGCTTATGGTGTTGAGAACAAGAGCTTAAAACTCACAAAGTTCCTCCTTCATTACCTGAAAAGCACAGTTCATGGTAAAGGCAGTACATCAGGTTCTGTGAATTCAAGGTCTGAATATGGTGGTCTAGCTGACACAGCTGTTTATGGGGTGATTTCTGTGGGGAAAAATGAATTTTCTTGCAGGAGACTGTTCTGGGTATTGAGAATAGTCTCAGGTTTTAGTATGAGCAAAGCTTGCAGAATTAGGTTGGAGAGATTAATCGGCGAGATGCTTGATCAAGCAACACTAGATGATTTGTTGGTGTCTGGCCATGACAAGGGTGTCTATGATGTTAATCTCGTATTAAGGTTGATTAGAGTATTTGTCAATGTAGATGGTGTATCCCTACAAAGGATGAAGAGGCTTGGTATTCTAATTGACAAGTACTTGGGTGAAATTTCCCCTGATCAAAACCTGAAGATTTTGAAATTTCTTGCTGTTGCAGAGAGTTTGCCTGATTCAGCCAGGGATTGCTTTGATGAAGTCTACAGGGCTATTGATATCTACCTTGAGGTGAATACCCTGATCCTTCTTCTTCTAGTTTCCTTTTCTTTATTCATGCAGACCAAATAATTTTTGGACTTTAGTTGATTAGAAGAATCAAAACTGTTGGAGATAATAAATAAATAGGGGGAAAGAAATAGAGACTTGAAAAAAAGAAAGAAGTTTTGGTTGATAAATTAAGGGTAAAGATTCTTCTGAAGTTATTCACTTTGCTTTTTATTCTTTCTGGGTTATCCAAAAAGATGCTTTGTTGAAGCATTATTTTGATGTCTTATCTATTTCTGGAAGGATGAGCATCTTCTACTGCTATTTCACTGTTTCCTTATACCCGGAGAGAACCATTTTCTTTCCCTTCCTTAATTCCCTTTTAGTGTAAAGGAAGGAAAATACAGAATTCAATTCGTACTGTAGTTTTTTGTATCCAAGGGGGAACAAGGTAATTCAGTTAATAAATTTGGATGGGAAATGAAAGGAAAGGAGAGAAATGAAGGATGGTTAGGAGCCAACGTTACTCCACTGATTTTTGGCCCATATGTTTTTGGCATCTTATTCCCTATTATACATGGCATTATTTTGTTATGTTACGGATTCAATTAAATTAGAACTCAAGGACACAGGTACATTCCTATAGAGCAGATCTCTTTACAATACTTACAAACACTAAATTTGGCATCATTAAAAGAGACAGCTTACCCAAAACTTCAGTTACAATCAATGTATTCCTTAACATTTCAAACCCCAGAAGTAGCATGGAGAAATGTTTTAGTAGGAGGCCAGAAAAAGAAATGGCATAAACATTTTGAATGTTTCTCGTTAAAGATCATGAATTCCAAAAAAACAAAAAGAGGATGGGTGAACAGTAAATACAGCATTCATGAAAATCCTGTGAAAACAAGATTGAAGAATCAATACAGGTTTGGAGTGTGTGTTGTTTAGTTGTTTTAGCATTCAGTAGTTGCATGTATTACACATGATGGGTAGTTGATACATCATTGTCTCACTCTCTTTCTGGTTATCTGATAGTTTATGTATATTTTATGTATATTGCAGTCTCATCCAACTCTTTCGTTTGAGGAAAGATCAAGGTTATGTAGATGCCTGAATTGCTCAAAGCTCACCCTCGAAGCATGTAAAGACCTTGCAAAGAATCCAAGAATCCCACCAAATGTTGCAGTTCAAGCACTTATGTCCCAGCAATCCAAGATACCCCGAGATCTTGAAGTTGAATATGAGAGCAGTCCTAACAAGAACTCCCGAATGATATTGTACCAATGTAGTTCGGACATAGAGGAGAAATGTTCAGAAGAGAATAACGAGGAACTCAAGCTGAATCTGCAGAGGATGCAGTGGAGGGTGCTGGAGTTGGAGAACGTGTGTAAGGAAATGAAGGGTCAGATGTCAAGGTTGGTAAGGCATAATGTCATGATTGCCTCCTCTCAGGGTAGAGCATTGCCAAGACTCTGTTGAAGCTCTTTGCATGGAAAATAATCAATAAAAAAATCTCCATATGTACAAGATTCTATTCTTACTGCAAGTTATAATATAGAGAAAATTGCTAATTGCAACATTGTTTTTAAAACCAAACAGGCGGACTCAAATGGGTCTATTGTAACAAATCATTTTTATGACCAGTCACCTGTCCAACCAATTCAATTGACCAATCTAGTCTAAGTTTGAAAACACTGACTTAGAGCTATCCATTTGATATGATAAAAAGGGATCAGAGATGACAAATTACCAAATCAAATGTTCATAGCAAGGGTTGAATACTGCGACACCCTGTCCTTGAATCCCATGTCAAGGAGAGTTTGACACCCTAAGTGCTATATTAACCTCACTTGAGCTTGTGCTGTTAAGAGTCAGGTAGATTTCAACGAGACTTCGGTTGTTAGCCTAACAAGGACTTGAGCCTTGGTCCTTTCCAGTACACCAGTCAAGGATTAACAGTTAACCCAACAAGAAGAAATCAATTAAAAAATGAATTTCTTGCTAATTGTACTTTACGTAGCATTAAGGTAGTTTAGCTGCGCAAAATTGAGTTTCCTTCCAAGAAAACTGTTAGATAAGATGTTAATTAAAGGAATTAATTAATGAAAAAGCTCTAGGACATTGTTTGTGGGAGAGCCAAAAAACTAAAGAATGGAATGTGAAGTGCATACAGAAATCACTGGTGGTGAGAAGAAAAAGAAGAATCAAAATGAGGATGATTTTTCCAACAGAGCTAGCTTGTTAGCAAGTTTGTTGGGTTGATATGGTTCTGATTTTAGGCATAAGTGCAGGCAACTAACAATGACAAAAACTGGCATGATTTCCTTGATTAGTAAAATTCATTATGCACATATAACATAAAAAATGTACAACATACTTAGTTTTATTATATGTTATTATGATTGGAATTTAAAATATTTCGTAGATAAAGAGGATGGAGAATACCATAAGATGAGAAGTCCAAGTAAA